CTTATTTTCAAAGTTATTGGGGTCTTTTCATTCATAAAAGAACAGATTGATTCTGTTCTGATATGTTGTTACTAAACAAATCCTTTAGTAAATCCTACTTTCCTTCTCCTCAAAATGGAAAGCACTTCAAATTATTCATTTTACAGAAGATACAATTGCTTCTCTTTACAGTATAGCTTCATAAGGTGCTTTGGTTCCCAAGTATGCATTTGCCCACTCATGGCTCAACAAAAGGAAAAAGTGATAGAAATCATGACATTTTCCCCATAAAACATCTCTCATAAAACTTTTCCAAGAAAGAAAGTATGATTTAAAGTGATGTTCCGTGGTTTGAAACATTTCAAACACCTCCTGTTTGATTCTGATCCTAAGCAAATATTTAAGAGCTTGCTGGATATTAGAAATCCATGATTAGTTAAGTATAACATATTTCAGAGGTATTTGTAGCTAAATTGTTTTTTTAATCTATTTATCCATTTATTCATTGACTTTTTATCCATACTTATATCAGATAAAGTAAAATTGTACCAATTAGAGCTATGTCTCCCAATTTAATAATTTATTTCTAATATAAAATACTAAAAGTCACTGAAAGGACTTTAATACAATATTAAAAATTCAAGATATTTAAACATTTATTTATTCAATAAATATCTATTGGGTACCTATTAGGCTAAGATTTATTGGTCTAAGGAAGAGAAACTCAGCTTACTGTACTTTTATTGTATTCAATATAGTGAATCAAAAGCTCATCTTTTGCAATGGTTACCTTACCATGGAAGGCATAGGAAAGTAGCCAAAACAGTTCTCAAAAATAATCTAAATTGAGCTTTTCTATCAAGTTCTGTCTGCCTTATTTATTTAAATTATGACCTCAGAGGTTCAATTTTCCACTTTTCTCTCATGTTTGCCTTCAAATTTAGACTTTGCTTTGCTTCATTTTTTTATTTTTCCCTATTACTTAATGAATATTTCTATTTTTACTTACACGTCCCTACTACACAGAGAATATTTCTATTTTTAACTAATACTGGTTGGATACCTTTATAAACATGCCCACATGTTCATTTTTCCAGTTGAATTTTTTGTAGGAAGTTTAGTTTCTTGGAAATGTAGGTGGCTTTCCTTATGTAAGTGCCAAACATCTGCATAATTTAGCACTAAAAGCTTTTCAAAAACTTGATTTCAAAATGTATCTTACTACATTTCACCCAACTTTATTTAATAAAGTCACAATCTTCTTGTCTGTCAGAAGAAAAGTAGAGAGTTAATGACATTGCCAATGTACTTCGTAAAATCTTCCCTAAGTCTCAGGAATAAAGAGGTGTGTTCTCGTGGGGGAAACCCCACGCTCGGAACAGTCCTTAGGCCAATGAGAACCATGGTGTGAGGCCTGCAGTCCACATGTCCCATGAGCTCACTGACACTCTGCTTGACCATTTACTGTCCCAGTGCTGGTTCTGGTGCTCTTCTTGGGCAAAGGGATTACTAATGGAAGTAAGGACATCTTGTTTAAGCCATTAGTAAATGCATGGAATGAGGAGAAAAGTAACGTTTGGTTTTAGATGAAGTTTCTGATTTTCTTTATGCATGCTCAAGTAACTTTTGAAATCTGACCATTTAGGTTTTAGCAATGTCCTGAAACTTCACAAGCAGCAAGGGAAGGACGAGAAGAAAATATAAGAGGTTCAGATCGGTACTCCATGGTCCTCTAAATTTTATGTGGCCTTATCCAACCTGAATTACATTATTATTTAATAGAATTAGAACTACATAGGGAATAAAAAATGTTTGAAGCAAAAACATCTTCTATTTGTAGAGGCTTGACTTGACAACGCCAACCAGCTATATCTGTTAGTGAATTACATTTTGTGAGGGAGGCTTAATCACTGTTGTAATGGTGCACCTTTTTTCTCAAGAGTCTCTTTCTTTCCCAAGTCTTCATGCCAGGAATGATCTTGTAGTTGTACAATACATGCTATTTACATTAAAGAACATTCAGTGAATGGTACTGGGTGGCAGGCTCAGTTGGAAATGGAAAAGAAATAACTATTTGGGACCAGTCATTAAACATTAGTAATCCATAAGTAAAGCATTGTTAGCAAATTATCTGTTTCACAGTTCAGACAGTATTAAAATATTCATATAAATGGAAGAATCAGCCAATTTAGAAAATTACTCATACATTCTCTATGTGAATGTTACTTTTAAAGACAAGCAAATAAACTAGATCATGGCTAACCATGCCGCAGGGTACTCATTAAACTGTGTTCATTTTGGCCAGAGTGAATATTGATTGGAGAGGATCCCTGGTGTTTCCATATGATCCCTCCTGTTAATTTGCTCAGATTTTCTAAAAATTGCAATCCATTACTCACACTTTGAATCATATCACCTCAAGATTTTGGTTACTATACTTTACTCTCTGAGTGTTAGTCTGCTCAGAGTTTTAGTTCTTTATTTTTTTTTAATTTTTAAAAGCCTTTAAAGAGTATTATAGTTAAAATTAGTTTTGTAAAGTAGTAAAAAAAAAATAGGGCTGTATCAAAACTACTAAGACTGAATTTTTGGTACAGCATTATTTTGGCTGACTTTCTAAAGAAGACACATGAGCTAAATACATTTCTGGAATCAAATGAAAGCTTGTAGTTTTGGCAGGAGCTACCAGTAAATACATTCCTAATTACTTGTTTTTGACAGGGATATCTCTGAAATACAACAAAAATGACCATTTGGAAGCTGTCATTAATTGGCAAGTCATCAAACAAAAATCATTCTCATTAATTTCATTTTGTTAAACTCATTTCCTCCCCATAGTTGGAAAGGTTTGAGCAGGTGACAGAATTAGCATAGCAAAAAAGGTCACTTTCCCTTAACCTCATATGCATAATCAATAATTAACTTCCAGAGGCTTCACAGTCATTATATCAGTAGTTTCAGATTTTCAAAGTATAATATGAAATGAACAGAAAACTAGTATTTTAATCACCTACTAATATGATAGATACTGAGTGAACTTTAGTATGAAGGAGGCTCAAAACCGCCCCAACCCAGTAATCTCATGGCAAAGTCACGTTATTTATTTATTTCCAAGAACTAAGTTATTTAGCAAAAAACAAGGGAAACCAGTATATAGGAAGGTGTATTATTTAAACAAAGCAGAAACTGGGTAATCTTTTTCTGTGCCTTACAACTTAAAAAAAAAAAGTGCCCTCCCCTCAAGAAACCTTATTAAATACCATTAAATTAGCATTTCCTCTGTTTGATAAAGTTGACACTTTGAAAACTATATATACATTTTTGCTTATATCAAAAAGAAATTAATTGGATTATGGTTCTTAACCAGTGTTTTCCAATCTGATAAACCTGAAGATATATTCAGCAAATGGCTTTTTTTTTTTAATAGATGAGGAAACTGAGGCATGAGAGACTAACAAAGGAGCTCAGAGTCACACAGATACAAGCAGAAACACTGGGATTCGACCCACACAAGATTGTTCAAGAGCATATACTAACAACCACTATGACATATGACTTCCCAAGATTAGATACCATGATATTTTCTAAATAAACTTATAACTTCTCAATTAATTCCTGATTGATAAAATAGCATTCAGGAAATGCAGTCCTTATATCACAAGCATTTCAAGACCTAAATAAAATACTGGTAACATTGCTTCTCCATTCCCATTTACCAAACTCAGGCAAGCTCATTAGCATAAGACTCAGGTCTTTTTTTAATAGGGGACCTTAAATATATTTCATCAACAGTCTTAATTATAATAAAATATGTTTGCCATGTTTATCTGATATTTAATTATTAAAGTTCACGTCAAAGTCTCCCATCTAGCCTATTCCTCAGGGATGCTGTTGGAAATGTTGATGAATTATTACAAATCCTTCATACAACCTAAGTACTAATTGTTAACCTTTCTCAGATATAATACTGTATGTTTAATAAATATCAGTACTAATTTTTAAAATGATTTAAGTTCTGTTTTACTTTTATTAAAAGAAACTCATTCTGAACCTTTAAAGCAATCAACCTTTGTATCAAACCTTGTATTCTGGCTGTGAAATTATTTTTTTAAGGCTGTGAAAAATTTGTAATTGTTACCCATTCCTAAAAGACTCATTTTAGCCTGAGTTATAAAGAAATGATATCATTTTATCTTCTTGATTTTATGTCAAAGTCTTTCAAAATCTATAAATCCATCAAGAAAATGTCTTCAGTATATCCCTGGTAATAATTGGTTGGAGCCCACTAGCAGAGTGAGATATCTGAGACCATAATCAACATTTCATCTCCATTGATTAAAAAAAGACTTCTGGGGGGTTGGGGAGCACCTGGGTGGCTCAGTTGGTTGAGCATCCAAATCTGATTTCAGCTCAGGTCATGATCCGTGGGTCATGGGATATGGTCCTGCATCAGGCTCCATGCTGAGTGTGGAGCCTGCTTAAGATTCTCCCCCCACCCCACCCCCGCTTCTCTCTCTCTCTCTCTCTCTCTCTCTCTCTCTGGGCTGCCTGGGTGGCTCAGTCAGTTGAGCCTCCGACTTTGGCTCAGGTCGTGATCTCATGGTTTGTAGGTTCGATCCCCATGTCGGGCTCTGTGCTGACAGCTCAGAGCCTGGAGCTCTTTTAGATTCTGCATCTCCCCCTCTCTCTGCCCCTCCCCCACTCGCACTCTGTCTCTCTCAAAAATAAATAAACATTTTTAAAAATAGAAAGATTCTCTCTCTCTGTCCCTCTCCCTGCTTGAATTCTCTCTCTCTCTAAAGTAAAATAAAACTTAAATTAAAAAAAGACTTCTGGATATATCACATGATTTTCAGGGTTTTTAAAAAACAATCGGTCTCTTCACAGGGATTGATTATTTTAAGTCTTCCTTTTAAAACCACATTGGGTGAAAAGCATATCATTCTACATTTAGTATTAAATGTCATTTTATAGGCAAAGAAATCTTGAAAGGCTATTTTTTTCTATTTTTGTTTTTACAGATGTCCGGAGAAGAACAATTTATGAATACCACCGAGTAGAGTTACAGATGTCAAAAATTACCAATATTTCAGCTGTGGAGATGACCCCATTGCCTAGTAAGTTACCACGTGAACAGAACTAGGTGGAAAGTTTCATGATCTGATCTGTTTATGCATAAGTATCTTGATCCTATGTGTATATAGGAATGGATGGGCGATTTTAATTTCAGTTGAGCATTCTTTTTTTTTTTTTAATTTCTCTCCATGCTGCCACTTAGTCTTGATAAACCTATTTTGTCCTGTTTCCTAGCATGTCTCCAGTTTAATGGTTGTGGCCCTTGTGTATCCTCTCAGATTGGCTTCAACTGCAGTTGGTGTAGTAAACTTCAAAGGTAAATAAAAAAAGTAATACAGAAAATGTAAAACTTTCACAGATTCATTGCTTCTAACTCTTCCATTGAATTTTAGATGTGTCAGGTGTATTGATTAGGTTTATATGAGCAAATGTATACATGTAAAAAGGGCAGAAGTAAGCAGAATGCAAAAAAATGCTCAGGTTTCAGGAGTTTTGAAGTTTTCCTTTGATCACTCAAAATTACCAAGAACCTTTATAGTCAATGAAATAATTATCTGATATACATTTGTAGTCTCTATGGGGCTTAAACTAGAGGGTGATTATGATTGAGGAGTCTATAAATTGCTGCCGTTAGTCCATATTTTTAAGAAAGCATGGTATGACGTATCATTCCTATAACAAGGACAGTTTATGCATGATCACATGCATATTCTTAGTAAATTCCAGCAAATGTCTCAAAGGTTACTAGCCAAGATTAGAGATGTTGTCTAAAGTTAGGGAATGAAGTGACACTAACTGACCGCTACATGAATAGAATGATTTTCATGAATGGCAAAGAGGAGTTTTTAGAGGAGTTTTTCGGAGAATGAATGACCATTTGTTGGAAATGCAGAGTGAAGACTTTTAAATGTATTTTCTTATTTACACAACCATTTTGTGCATCAGTTATGTCCCAAGACCTGGGAGAGTAGCAGTGAATAATATAGATGTGATTACTGCCCCCCATACAGTTTACAGTCTTTCTGGGAATAAAGTCCCCTTCCACCTTTAGGGTCTATGAAAAGTTTGCTTCTTCATGCAGGTAGAGAACTGAGTCTTAAAGCTACCCATCTGTGCTTGTTTGCAACAGCTTTCTGTTGTATAAGCCGCCTATGTCTTATCGTCTTCCTGCAGCACTCGCTGTAATGATATAGCAGCATGTTCAGGAATACTTTAAAAGTTATTGAAGTATAAAGAATAGAATGCCAGTTCCTTGGTAACAAGCTTTGGGGAGCATGTCTAACTTGCTCACTTTGGGGCAACCAGTACAGTATTGTGGATAGAACAATATTATTTATTATAATCTCTGCTTTGTTTTCAATGTAGCCTGTTCTAATAATTTCCTTTGTGCAATGAGTTTCAAATAATGATAAAGCAAACAAGAGATGAATACTCTTGAGGTCAATTTTAACTTGCCTGTATCTCCAGGCAGAGAAGAACTGCTTTAAAACTGCTTTGTGGTCATTTATATTCATATGTTGTTGACATTCCATAAAAATGACATGCATGTCAGATGCTATTGAAAATCTGTTTAGGTAACAGCCAAAATGAATCTAAGGAGATAGCATTTTCATATGCATAGTTAAGTAATACTGAACTGACAACGAAAAACTCCCAGGAGAATTAAGTAGAAGACTCTGCCAGGGCGTGAGCCTAATTCAAGTTCCAGTTCAGTGCTCACCTCCTCTGAGAAGTCTTCCAAAACCTGTGTTTGTTTGTGTGAGGTTCTCCAGGCCTGTGATTCTCGGACATCCTGGGCAAGCTGCCATCGTCGGCAGTTACCACGGGTCTCATGGACACTAGTTGCTATGTCTCCTTAGAGAGTCTGTGGCTTTATTAAGGCTGATTGGTCGTTATAGCTCCAGAATAAGAACACACCTGGTACTACAGAAAAATGGATGGATGAATGCATGAATGACTAGCTTCCAAATGCAAGGATCATGATTAGATTTGTCTGGGAAGGAAGGGTTTCTGAGGATGAAGGACTTTGAGTGCTGAAGCCAGGAGAGTCAAAGGAAAACCAGAAGAGTTAGCCACCCGACACAGATTCTCAATCGAATCCTCAACTCAAATAACGTAGTTTGCAAATGAAGATTTGGGACGCTGGCCTAGAAACGTATTTTCCACCAACCATTTCATTATTTTTTAAAAATATGTTTGGTGAAAATATACAAATGTTTATGGATATATTTATATTATAAATTTATATTTATAGTTTATATATAGGTACACACATATATATATACACAAGCAACTTTGGCAATCAAAATACACCCACAAGTTGCAAATCGCTTTGTATTAATACCTCCATTTTATTGAAATACGTCTCTGGCAGACATTGTGCCAAGGAATTTGCAAATATATTTAGCTCATACAAATTTTTTTACAGCGGAGGAAACTGAGGCTTACAGGAGCTAGGTTATTTGTGCAGGTCTCATAGCTCTTAAGGGATAAGTGTGAACGGACACTAGATCTGTGTGACTCCCCAGCCTGCTGCCCTGACACCTCACCCATTCTGCCTCACACCTGCCAGGCTGCAGATGCGCTAAGCAAGTTAATCCTCATCGCTTCCTGAAAAGTAGAAGACACACTACTGAAAAATAAATATTTTTATAGTTGAGACTGCAAGAAAATTGCATGGTTTCAAAATTGGCATAAAAAGAATGCAGAAGATAATCAAGCAAAGCAAAACACTTTTGTATATTATTGAAAGCATAATTTTTTAAAAAGATTACTGGAAAAAGGAGAAAGGTGGTGATGCATGTAAATAAGGAAGAAATTCAACAAAGAACACTATTTTACAAACTACAGGTTTTCTACATGTGACCATTGGGTGTTTTGCTGAATAACAAACACTGGTTTTAAATCTTGGATTTATTTTTAATTCTTCAGCAACCCAGTTATATACATATCAAAACCTGCTTAATTAATTGCTTTAACTATGGCTCATTGCACTTTTGTTCAATTTAATTTCCCCACTGCATTTTATTAATTTCTCCTTAGACCTGTGAGCCTCAAAACTTTGCTTTTGCTGCCCGGAAGCATTTCCCCAGACTTTAGAGCTTTTATTAACAAGTTCAATAAAACAAGAGAAGCCTTATCCTAAGCAGCACAAAAAGTGCCTCTCAGATTTTTTTCTTCCATCCTTTTTACTTTCTCATTTGCGCTCATTTACCCCTGAATGATAATCAGTTGGTGGTGATTATTGAACTCTCAAGTTGGACTTGCTCTAAAAAGATAAGATAATTTTAATTGGTTTGTTAATTTCTTTTAATTCCTATTTTTCGGGAAGGAGAAACTAAGGCAAAATGTTTGTAGTGGCTTACCCAAGGTCTAAAGGAATTTGAGTTGTAAGAACATTTAATGAGATTCCATGATCAAAACTGTTTACTTAGAATAGGTGGCCCATTACTTCTAGGTAAGAAGGCTTTTGTTTCTTCACTGAAAATCTAGAAGATTTAAATCAACCACTTTCAACTATACCTTTTATTTCCACTCATTCAACAAAAACTTTTGCATTTCTCTCCATTCAAGTTGTTATCCTAAATTGTGAATTCAGTGATAAACAAGAGAAAATCTTGTTTGTCCCTCATGGAGCTTACATTTTTAGTATGATGAGAAAATATTTAAGCAAATGGATGTGCAGAAAATAGAGTTAGTAGTGATAAGTGCTATGGCAAAAGAAATAAAAATAACATTATAAGGGAAAATACAGCAAAATTGTTAAGAATAATGGGAGTTTATTTGTTGGTATCATTCTAAGAAACCCAGACTTTTTGAAAAGACCTTAGTTTCATTAGCCTTCATCATCCTAAAGTCTATTTTTTTAATTTTAAATATATTTTAGCCTTTAAATTATCCATTCACTCATTTGTGTACTTAAAAACTTATTGAATGCCTTCTACACTAATCTAAACAGCAAACACTAGTCTAGATATTGAGGTAATTTGAACAAAACTCATGTATTAAAGCCAAAGCTCTCATGCAGGAGTTAGAGTTTAGCTTATTAAGCTTGAAAACAAACAAATAAATAATTAAACAAAAGGTTAGTTGATAATGAGTGCTCTGTTGAGTTTGAAAAAGCCAGTAGTTGCTCTGGACTATGTGGCCAAGAAAGGCTTCTTGGAAGAAGTGACAATTAGATCTGACTGGGAACCAACTACATATACCAAGGAGAAGGCAAAGAGCATTCTGAGAGGACTGGCAAATGCAGTGGTCCTGCCATGGGTTCAAGCTTGATATGGTGAGAAAAGGAAGAAGCACAATGAGCTGGGAGCATTGGGAGTTGAGTGTGAAGGGAGAATGGTATCAAGGGAGGTCAGGCAGGTTGCACAGTACCAAGACATGGAAGGATTTGTAAGCCAGGAAGAGTTTTATTTATTCTCAGGGTGATGGGAAGCCTTTAGATTTTAGAAGAACTTCAGAAGTGATGTGATTTTATTTTGTGTTAAAAATGAAGCTCTGGGGGTGCCTGGCTGGCTCAGTGGGTAGAGGATGCGACTCTTGACCTCAGGGTCATGAGTTCAAGCCCCATGTGTGGCATAGAGTTTACTTTAAAAAATTAAAAAATGAAACTCTGGCTGTTCCAAGGAGAATAGCTATTTTCTTATGTGTGTGTGTGTGTGTGTGTGTGTGTGTGTGTGTGTGTGTGTAGAAAGATTGAAAAGGAAAAGAATAGTAGAGAGTGTGTGCAATAGTCTATAGAAGGGATGACAGTTGCCTAGACGAGGATGATAATTATGGGGAACAGGAGAGATGAGTTGATTAGAAGTGAAGGAAGAAGAAAAGGTAAGAATCAAGGCTGCTTTCTAGACTTTTGTTTGAGTAATTTGGTGGATACTGGCATTCATTTCTTTTCTGAGATAGGTAAGATGGCACAAGAAATAGAGAGTAGGGTGGAGAGAAATAAAGAGTTTTGTCTGGGGACAAGTTCAATTTGAGTTTTCTATCAGACTTCAGGTAGAAATGCTGAATAGGTGTGAATATATAAACCAGAAATTTCAGGAAGAAGTTGTGGCTGGAGGTTCAGATTCAAGAGTGTTTATAATAAAGATAGTATTTAAATTCATGGGGCTGAATGAGATCAGCTGTGGAGAAGGTGTTTTTTGAGAAAAGAAGAGATTCCAGGAACTAGCCTCTGGCATAATGTAATGAGGTAGGAGATATGCTAATTTATTCATTATATAAAATTATTTTAAAATGTATTTGTATGTACATTTTTGTTTGTATAGACAAAAAATACCTTGGGAAAGATACATAAGAGACTGATAATATTTG